CCCAAGGAGTCCTACCGTATGTGTAAGATCTAGAAAAACCGAAGTGAACGGAGTTCATGGAGGTAGGCCTGGGCCCACTGGGGCTGTAGTGCCAAGGAAAGATGTAAATATGTAGGAATAAAAGTAAAAAAGTAAAGCTATCCCTGTACCAGGTCATGAAGGCCCATAGGGTTGTGAGACGTTGAGGGTCCCACATTTTCTAGAAAGTCGGCTCAAAGATGGCGGTAAGGTTGTCAGCCTTAAGCACCGGTCGCGCTTTAATCCCCAGGAAAATTATTTATTTAATTCCTGGTACTCATTTCTGTTAGAGGCTGAGTAAACCCCAAGGCCTAGTGCGACTGAAAGGATTAGGTCAATTGAAAAAATCCAATGATCTCATAGGGACCTGATCCCGCGACCTCCCCGTTTGTAGCATAGTGCCATACGCCCTATTTTAACCTTTGTACGTAACAACTCAAGGGGCCATTATACTCTAATTACGTTTTATTTCTTCGCGCAAGAAATTTATTACGAAAAATTTAATTGTAAAAATGGATCCATTTTACCCTACAATTCAATAACATTTTTTTTCATTTAAGAAACCATTTTGATGATAGTCCATGCGACCGAAACATGCGGCACTGAGACAACAGAACTGATTAAACCACTGATATATTATATCGATTTTAATTGATGTTATTGAAATCGGAATTAATTTACTTCGTTGTTGTGTCAACAGCCCTAATACCCCGATATTATAATAAAACACAATGTAAAAAATATCATTTTTCCCCGTATTTCTACAAGTGCCTTTCACGTACGGCATAAAATATTCATGCACACTTTTCTTCAATCTGGAAATACACGAACGGATCTCCGCAGATGTGAACAGGCATCGTGTACCCTCTTCGCTTCATTTTGATTTTCCTCTTCTGTCTTCGCGGGTGCAGCAGGCACTTTAAACTTTACTTTGCTTGTTACGTTACTTTTACTTTGCTTGTTGGATTTGAGGTTCTCACAACGGCACAATCTACTGATCTGCTACGTCGTGTAGTTAGGAGAAATCCCCGACGTTTTGGAGGAACAGGTTCGAATAACAGAAAAAGAAAACATATCTCTATTTGCAGCTCACTTCTTGCAGGTGTCTCCCTCTGCTCGACTCTGAATGTGACGGCTACGTTCTTCCGAAACGTGGGGATTTTTTCCGAGCTATACGGCGTTAAAACCAAGACGACCCTATTCTTATTAAACTTCCTTATTTTGTAACTAGCGACGTAGAAGTTAGAAGATGGAGCCCACAGATATGATAATGTGCTGCCTGGTCAGGGCTATTGCACACCTCAGGGGGCAGTGACAGTTAACTGTGGAGCAATGCAGGGATGATTAGTAGAGAAAGACAGAAGAAACGTGGAGGGTAACCTGCTGCAAGGCCGCTTCGTACAGCAGGAAAACTCGCATGAAATCACAGGGAACGGACGCAGTTCTCCATGGAGAGAAGTCAGCGCGTAAGCACCTGAGTCCGGGTGCCTCGGGCCTCTTTCTTTCGCTTGGGGCTGCTGTAAACTGACTGGGGGTGTAGAGACACTAACTGAAACACTCCCGCTTAAGTAAACGGAAGGTTCTGACCTCAAATCTGGGCCCAACGACTAGCTATAGTTAAGAGATTTCTGTTATTTTCTTCAGTTCCTCCAGGCAGATTTTCGAATAAATGTAAAAAAAAAAGGTAAAATTCATCTGCGGATCATGTCTTGAAAACGAATGGGGGGGTTGATGTATAGCTCCACCATGCTTTACCTCGACACTAGATGGAGGTAAGTTGTCAGATTCACGTCCCGGTTGCTTTATCCCCGGGAAAAGGGGCTGGGTGGGCCCCAAAGCCAGTCTGGATGCTGTTAATATAGAAATTCTTTGCCCCTGTCAAGAATCGAGCCCCAGCCATCCAGTCTGTAGCCCGTCGCTATACAGACGGATCTACTCCTAGATGGAAGTAAATATTATCGAATAAATTAGAAGACTTTTCCACTTCTCGACCTTTTTTATCAATTGTCATGGAAGAGATTGGCCGTGGTGTGTAAGTAGATACTTATATAAGACATTATGTACCGAAGTGTTTAATTAATTAAACTCTGGAACAACCTTTTATTTCCCCATAGATGTCAAATGTCCATCGCAGTGGTCGCGCGGTCTAAGACATTAACTGTTTTCGCCCGCTCCAGCACTGGGATCGTGGGTTCGAATTCCACTTGAGACTTGGACAGCTTTGTACGTTTATTATGTCTGTGCTGCCCTATATGCAGATAGAGGCCTTCGGAGGGCTAATCTCTTGTTCAAGGAGTCCTATCGACTGCGTGAAAGACCAAGAAACTGAAAAAATGACGAAGGCCTAACCAAGGACTGTAGAGACTTAGATGTCAAACAGTAAATTTGATCAGTATATTGCATGTATGTTAGGTAATATAAGGGACAGCGCTTGTATGTTACTTGACCGTATGTAAGCTGGAGCGGAGAGACTGCAGTGGCGTGGATAGGCATGGTTTTTTTTTTAGAGAAAAATCTGACGAGTAAAATTTTAGTCCAGCTAATGAACTGAGGTTGAACGTGGAAGTAACGATTACGTGAATAATTAAGTAAGCAGTTATCCTGCAGCATGAGAACGCAAGTAGACTCAAGCTCTGGAGTTCCCATATATTCAGGAGTGTGAAATATTGGCCCAAACCATACGAAAACGTAACATTTGGGGACTAATGAAAGGATTCTGTGAAAGTGTGTTACTACGGTTGCCGGCAGGGGGTGGGCAATAGAGGAACATCCTCCCCTCCATCGGGATATCTGAAAAGAATTAAAATCAAGAGAGAACATATACTAAACATTAAAGAAATAGGAGCCGGTAACGGTAGCCGAGCGGTCTAAGGCATACACTGTCTTCGCTCGCTCGGAAACCGAGATCATGGGTTCGAATCCCACTCAGGGCATGGATGTTTGTGTGCGTTTTTCTGTGTTTATCTACAGGTAGAGGCCTTGCGACGAGCTGATCACTCGCCCAAGGAGTCCTACCGTATGTGTAAGATCTAGTAAACCGAAGTGAAACGGAGAGTTTCATGGAGGTAGGCCTAGGCCCAAATTGGGGCTGTAGCGCCACAGGAAAAAAAAAATACGAGGATCCTGAACATGGTTTTTGGCGTGTCAGTGTTTCGGTGTAGGAACCCACATCTCTGGTGCAATGTGTGAAACTATTTGTAAACGGTATAAACCTAAGGTCGTAAGAGAATTTTCTGGTTGTGAAGAGTTCTGTTTTCCGTGATATAACACTGTGTAGTACACTGAAAGTTAACCAACGTTTCGTAGGAACATGTCGCCTCCATCTTCAGGGTCAAAGAATAGGTCGATCAAGAAATCAGAGTTCCTCATGACACCTGAATTCAAGCTGGTATCTTGCTCGGCTTATACTTTTACACTGAAGATGGAGGCGATGTTCCTACGAAACGTCGGTTAACTTCCAACGGACTGCATATGTTATATTACAGAAGATAGAATTCTTCAAAACCACCGCTGTGAGAACCTCAAATCCTACAAATTCTCTCCATAATTCGTTTGGAAATATTTCTGGCGGTCGAAAGTTTGTGACAGAGGTTAATTCATTATATCAACGTTATGTTGTGTGAGGTCGTAACTGACATACACCGCATTTCGGAAACTGAATCACTTTCACCACGGCCACGGGCCGAGTCGTCAGATCCCCTTGATTTTTATATATTTCTGATGAATGATTTATTTATCTCCACGTACTGATAGATTACAATTAAAATTCTTTTTGTAGCTTTTATAATTTTCATCAGAAGTTTGGTTCATATCTCCTGCTGATAATATTTGTTATTAACAAGACGCATGCCCAGCTTAGAACTTCTTCCGATGTTCAGTTATCGATATTATGTCTTTCTAATGGGACAGCTTCCCTTACGCCTGGTGACGGAAACAGTATCAGTTTCCTCCGAAACTGGTCAGCGTTAGTATCGAGTTCTCTGTTATATATGTAACAAATTCTGCCTGCAGACGCAATTCGTATTGCGGTGTCATAGATGTGGCACAAATCCTACGTTTCATAAAGAGAATCTGTAATGTCAGATATAAAGAGCCGTTGCCTACCTTTGCATTCGTTGGCATCCCTGGCTGTGGCCCTGCCCCAGGGTCTGTCGAAGTGGAAGGGCTTGCAGCGCTCGCAGTCCCTACCGGCGGTGTTGTGCTTGCAGTCGCAGGCCAGCTGGCCGTCGCGGCCCGCCGGCACGCACTTGGAGGCGTGCCCATTGCACTTGCATCGTCCCCCGACTGCGAAGTCGGACACGGCATAGTGGTATGACATGGTGGTGGTCGTCGTGGACGCGAAGCTGTTGGTCAGGCCATTGGGACCGCTGTCAGCAGAAATGCTCGCCGCAGCCACCGGCTCTGGAGGACCTGCAGCGTGGTTCTCCATGTCGTGCTGCGGATGTGGGCTCTTCGTGTAGTTGTCTTCCTCTCCCAATTTCAGAGCCGTCTGCTGAGGATGGCTTTCAAGCATTCCTCTGTTCTCCTCGTCTTCCTCGAAGCCGTTAGGCAGATGCAGCCGATTGAACACCACTTTGATATCCGTGGCTGTTACCCAGTCTTGTAGCACGGGACTGTTATCGAAATCTGAGGCGCTGGGGCGTCCCTCCAAGGTGCTGAAGGCAATGCGAGAGGCGATCGGCCCGCCCTCACCGCCGTTACCATTGAAGCGGTGTGAATCAGTGCAGAGAGCTTCTTGTTCATTGGCTTTCGTGATGGTCGCCCTATTGGGACGACCGTACACCTTGCGACACTGACTCGAGTAGAACTGGAAAGGCTGCCAAGTCTTGCCGTAGTCCATGCTCTTGTAGATGGCAATGGAGTCTGGTTTAGCTGCTCGAGGACAGAACTGGAGGCTTACGTATGTCAGCTCGTACTTCTTGCCCAGGGACAGCGTCAGGGTCACGTTGTCTGGAGGACTGGAGACGCTGGTAGGTGATACGATTGGTTCTGACCTCCAACAAGTAACGTTATTGGGGTTGTTCAGGTCTGTCAGGTATAAAGCGGGGTGACGACGTTTCGGCTGCGATTCATCGCAGATGTGACACATACCACCATTAACACCACCTCCACCAGGTATATCCGAAACGTCGCAGTACCTCACAGGTACCGAGGCACCGCAAGTGCTGGAAGCTTCAACAGGATTCCCAAACGCTGCGTTTACAAAGTCTGGGATACAGCGTCTGGGACGGTGCTCATCGTAGCAAGGGTCTGGAGGATTCTGCTGAGCCGCGAACATCTTGAGGAAGCTGTCACTGTTACCTGCCTCTGTCACGAGAGGGTAAAGCAACATCAAGAACACGATAATCGCCATGATTCTGTACCGTAAATTAAATCACCTGCTTATAACAGTCTGTCACTTGCGAAGTGCTCCTTCCTGCATGTACAGACACACTTAGACATTCTGTGACGAACCTTTTTGTCTTCTAAACTTACACCTTAATTTGATTTGTGTGTACACTGAGAATTTCCCCGCCCGTCCAACACCCCGAACCGCTGCTGCGTTGAGGTCTTCTATACGGGAAATGTCGCACTTGTATATATGTAATTATACAACTTGATTCAGAAGTGTCCCAACGGGAAGATGCTGGGTCGTGTCGCGCGGCGCGCACCGGTGACGCAAGAGAAAGAGACAAACAGAAATGCTCACTCTGCGCCCGTTCTGAAGGCCGGCCGGAACCACACTGAGAGCGAGCGGACCGAGGAAGCGAGTTCGACCAGCGCAGAGCACAGTAGACGCGCGGGCGGGTCCAACGGCCCAATCCCCGCCTCTCTCGCGCCGATCGCATACCCCCTCCCAACCCCCCAACACGCAATCAGGAAGAAAAAAATGTACATATCACTATTCCATTTCCTGATAACGGTGCTTCCCTCTTCACCGTTTCCCTTCTCCTCTTTGCGTAAAAATGTTTTATGTTATTTCAATTTTGATGAACGTTAAGAAAATTAAGGACTGCTTTATGTTAAAAATGGCATTTCCACGAAATGGTACCGGGGTACGATGAAAATTTTATGCTTATTTGTATATTTTCGGGGCTTACCCTCATATACGAAGGAGCCATGATGGCGTAGTTGCTATAGCGACTGGCTACGGGCTCGACGACCGAGGGGTCAGAGTTGGAGTCCCGGTAGGGTCAAGAATTTTCTCTTCCCCACGTCGTCCAGACCGGCTCTGGGGTCCACTCAACCTCCTTTCCAATGGGTACCGGGGACACTTTCCACGGGGGTAGAGGAGCCGGAACGTGAGGCTGGCCACTTGCCTCCAGCTAGTGCCGAGACCAGGAAAATATGGATCTATACATCCACTTCCCCATACGCCTCATGGCATAGTGATAATTAGTTAAGCATATACCGGGAATACGGTCAGTTACTGAGTATCAGATCCCCAAAATGGCTGGCCTGACACGAACGCCCTAGAACCGTATTCGGAGGGTGTGGGGTTCGAATCTCGGCCAGTACACCAGGTATCCTGAGTGAGCATTTTATAGTTCGCCTCAGTCCCTACGGGATGTCAAGATAGCACCATGACCGCCAAAATCTTTCCAATTCATTGTTCATCAGTCATCCTACCATTCGACGCCATATTGTTTAGTTACTGACATGGCCGTAGATAAGCCAGGAACATGATCTGCACAAAATGGCCCTTGCTGATTCAGTTCGTGTCCTGACAGAGGTGTTGTTATGGTTCTCCCATTATCTCCGTGTATCTTAAAACATTTGTCATTTAAATCATAGTGGTCATGTAAAAAAAAAAGTAAAAAAGTAAAGCTTTCTTTGTAACAGGCCATGAAGGCCCACAGGGTTATGAGACGTTGAGGGTCCGACATGTAGACAATCGGCTCAAAGATGGCGGTAAGGTTGTCAGCCTTACGCGCCGGCCGCGCTTTACTCCCCAGGAAAATTATCTAATTAATTCCTGGTACTCATTTCTGTTAGAGGCTGAGTCGACCCTAGGGCCATTGTGCGGCCGGAAGGATTAGGTCAATTGAAAAAATCCAATGACCTCATCGGGACTTGAACCCGCAACCTTCCGGCTTGCAGCATAGTGCCTCAACCAATTACGCTATCGCGTACCACCTTCTAAGAAGAAACTCTGTATTTTACCCAAGGAATGTATTTGTCTATTTTGTGTGATTCTCATAATATACAGAGATTATTTCCTTAAACAACTGGTTTTGGTATTGGAGACTAAGTGAGTGTTCTGTTAGATAGGAACTCAGTTTTTACAGATAAATTTCAGACTTCCTCATGTTAACGTCCACTACGTATCATCTGTTGTTGGTTAGTTGCTGTTAAGTAATATACGAATTGGCTAGTTTTGTGTATAGTAGTAATGGGTTTAGAGTCGCTTCCACGGCATAGTTATCCGGGCACTTAAGTCTTGAGTTGTAATCAGTGCATATGCCATTGTGCATTGATCTGGCGGATATCTCAGCGGATTGTCTTCTAGCGTGAACGAAGAATTAAATAAGATTATTCTGTCTGAAACAATTCATAAGACTCGAAATGGACGATTAGACGGCTACTCTGCAGCAAATGTCAGGGAGATCATATCAAGGAAGATGTGTTGAGCCAGCTACGAAACTCGCATTAGGAAGACGAAAACTGCCTACAAAATTTTAATGTTGAAACAAGAATACAAAGGATAGATTTATATTTGGGTCGAAAATGTTTCTTTCTAAGTCATGAGCTTGTAGAAATGATTAAATTCAATCACTTATCTGCGTACTTACTTGGTTCTACGGTCCTATCAGAAACTTTGAATTCTTTAGCATCATGTGTCCTTTCTTCTCTCATTCGGCCTGTTTCGGTGGATCGTTAATACTAACGTTTTCCTAGGTACGGTTGAAAGCCTCATGCCAAATACCCTGCCTACATGATCAAAGGTACCTTTCCTCTGGCTCGTCTTTCAACCCATGGGTGACTACCAGAAACCAATACTCCCGCTAGCATAGGTCACCGGGACACGCAAACATCCCCACTATATTACAGTAGTAACTCTGTGGTCTAGTGGTCAGAGTTCCTGGCTACAGATCCAGAGGTCCCTGGTTCGATTTCCGGCGCTACCAGATTTTCTGAGAAGTAGTGGGTGTGGAATGAGGTCCACTCAGCTTAATGAGGACAATTGAAGAGCTATTTAAAGGAAATAGCGGCCGCAGTCTAAAAAAACCGAAATTAACGACCGTGGTAATCCGTTGTGCTCACCAGGCGACACACTCTATCCGCTAAATTTGGCACTAACTTCGCCTACAAGCGACGGCCGATCTGTCGGTATAATTTGCTTGCTGACTAAAACCACGGAGTTTAGTTTTATTACAGTAGTAGACAAGAGACAGTATTTGAAAAGTTTATAATCACTCATGGAGCCGAGCCCTTCTTGAGAAGCTGCCAATTGTGCAGATACTCAGGAACTTCCCAGAATTTTATGGAATTCGAAGGTTCATTACAGTGTTCAGGAGAGCCCTCCAGCGGTCCCTATCGAAATAAATGTTTATAATAGGAAACAATTTTAGTTAGGCCTATTATAAATGAGATTTTTTAATGTTCCGTGATCCTTCCACTGGCCATGTGATGATTCTCATATGTTGTTACATTAAGCGAACTTAACTGAGCGCTCTTTGTTCTCTCTGAATGTAATGTGAATGTGATTTGTAATGTATTACAAGTTGATTGATGTGTGGTAGCGACGTGTGGAACCAGAATTCTAAGTGTCATGTCACGAGTGCCTAGTTGCATTGGTCACAGTAACAATGTCCACACGGGGTTCAGGCGATATCTCTAGGGGATTTCCATAACAATGGCTGCAGCTGAACATCCTTGTCTTCTTTGCATACCGATCTTTATTCTACTGCACTACGCTTTCTACTCATCATCTTGTTTGTTTTGTTAAGTTGACGGCGATTTTCAATGTTGATATGCACATGTGTTTACTTCGTACAATGGATACAGGAGTCTGTTTCAAGATGTAATGCAACTGGAGTTGCGTTTTACAGAAGGAAATTAGAAACTAGCTTCCTTTATAAGACTCGAAATTCTCACAGCGCTAGCAACCAAAAATTCTATTTCCTTGGATGCGAATTGATGCGATTTGAAGTGACTGTGAGACTGTTATAAAATCCGTTGCCAGGATAAGACTAGTGAATACTGGGAACCCTAGTACATGTGTAACGGTGAAATGTAAAGTGTGTAAATCAGAGATAGCGCTGTAGCGCTGGTAGTCTCGGGTTGTGAATGTATAAGGTGTCAAGAAATTCCATCATCCAATCCAGAACCCGTCTTTTAAGTCACGTGCAAACCCCCTCATTTTTCTCACGAGTAACTGAAAGTTTACATTCCGTGACGCAAAGCAGACGACGAACATGTATCTGTGATTATCATATGAGATGCAAGCGAGTAAAATAGTGTGTAGACCACGCATGTGCCATTATGCATAATGGCCTTAAAACACGAAACTAAAACCAAAGCGAACAGATAAGAGGGTACCACATTCACGGGATATGACTGGATATTTGAAAAGAAAAATTATTGGCTTTATTTCAGTATTTTATTATTTCTTGATCACTTATGTGAGAAATTAATACTTTAGACGGTGGTGGTAACAAATTGTACTTCACGCTAAACTAGCGTAAAAGCCCTTGAGAAATCGATGGAATTCTCATCACTTTTATACAACTTTCGTACTGTCAACCTGACTGTATTAGGGGTGGGCCTCCTCGGTCCCTTGCACCGCGACCTGCAGTGGTCTATTGGGCTTTACTGTCAACTTCCTCTGATTTCTCCTGTATTCCTGTAATCCTACATGTTATCGAATTATATACCGAAACAGAACTTTATCGCAATCTCCCACGAATAACACGCACTATCTTGAACTATGACATTTATATATCATAGAACACTTCATATATGTATTTATATCAGAATATTATTAGTACTCAGTGAACAAACACGACACAGAAAAACAAATTACCTCTTTCTTGGCCTTGACTTCTACATAACTTACATAATGCAGCTTGTTAACACACTATAATTCGTTGCTATAGTAATAAAAATTACTCAATTTCAGAATTTTCAATTGGCACTTATGTTACATACTTATACAGAGGTCGGTATAGGAGAATAAGTCATGTCTTGTTTATATTCAACAAATTATATTATGGTATATATAATTCTTATCATGTAATAATATTACATTTGTTTATATTAGATAGTAAATTATGTTATACTGGATTATATTTAGCTAGGCTACACACTTATTTTCTCTTATGCCATGTATAGTATGTTAAGCTACGCGATAACTAACTCTTTTTAACTGTGTCTTTGAGAAGCCGCCAATTGTGTAGCTATTCAAGAATTTCTGAATATTTTATGGAAACTGAAGGCTCGTTACCGTGTTCACAAGAGCCCCCCATTGGTCTATATCGTAAGTCAAATTAATCCAGTCCATGCCCCCCCCCCTCAATTTCTCTAAGATCCATTTTAATATTATTATACCACCTACGTCTAGGTCTTCTTAGTGGTCTCTTTCCTTCCAGATTTCCCACCAAAACCTGTAGTGGATTCATTTTCTCCCACATGTGCTGTCCGTTTCGTTCTCCGTGATTTGATATTCAAATTATATTTGGTGAAAAGTACAAGTTACGAATAAATATT